CCCTGCCGTGATATTGCTGGAATATTGCTAAAAACGGCGTAAAACTATACTCACTCACTCCAATCGGGTTATGCGTTGCTTCTTGATGTATCATACCAATGGCCTGTTCTTTCAGTACCATTAATCTCAGCATGTTATTTGTCACTGTCCAACGGTTTGGGTGTGAATGAACAGTATATCGTTCCTTTTATATCCATAACTTTATAGGGGGCACGGTTGGCCCAGTCGTCTAAGGCGCCGCGATTCGCTGTGCAGAGTTGCGTCCCTTTGGCGCGCAAGAAAACTATGATTGTGGGTTCGAATTCCGGTTCGCCCCGATTATGTTTCTAGGTTTGTCAGCACCATACCCGTGCTCGTGGGTTTCACCGAAGTGGTAAACGTCTGAGACCTGCATCACTTCGGGCTTTCCTCCAACATTAAGCTGACACGCCGTGATATAACTGGAATACTGTTAAATGCGGCGTTAAACCCAAATCACTCACTCACCATATCTTTATAGGCTGGCAGGCAAGTGCAGCAAAAGTTTCACTTCAAACTCAAGTTCCACTGATCTGGGTAATGTAGCACGTGCATTACTCAGCAAACTGTTGTGGTTGTGTTTGGGCGATTGATTCTCAACCATTTTGTGACACTATTCGGGGTTTAAATCCAACGTGTCCCACTTTCAGTTAGGTAACGTTTCTTTTTTGGGTCAGTTTACATCAAAAGTTGTGCTACCTATGTTAGTCATCTACCACATCATCTTAGTAATTGGAAGGTACATTTCCCCAGTAGATGTGAGTACAAACATGTCAAGTTGACTGGGTTTTGCTACACATGGTTTTGGAAATGAACCTGACTCGCCATTATATAACGGAAGTAATGTTTAAAGTAGCATTTACACAACTGACTCACTCGGTTCTACGGAAGCTATGTCTAACCTAGTTGCCTTGATAACACCGTGGGACAGCGAGATGATTCCAGCACGTGGCCGTTCACAGTGAACAATACTTGTGCTCACTTGAAGGGAGGTTTGCACAGTTGACAAATCACCAGAGGACATCGTGATGTATCCAGCACATGGCCGTCTACAGACCCGTGAAGATTCCGGGGTAGAATAGGTCTTCAGCAACCCATGCTTGCCGTAAAAGGCGACTATGCTTGTCGGAAAAGGCAACTAACGGGATCGGGTGGTCAGGCTCGCATGTCATCGTATTCAAATTGCGTGGATCGATGCTGATGATGTCAATCACTGGATTGTCTGGTCCAGACTCGATTATTTACAAACCGCCGTCATATAGCTGGAATATTAGTACTGCTGAGTGAGGCGTTAAACAACATCCCAAATACAGAGAACAATACTTGTGCTCACTTGAAGGGAGATTTGCACCGTTGACAAATCACCGGAGGACATGGTGATGTTGCCAGCATGCGGCCATTTACAGTGACCAGTACTTGTTCCTACTTGAAGGGGGGGGTTTGTATCCTTGATAAATCACTGAAATTATGTAAAACATTACTATGAGACAATGAAATATTATATCTAACTTTTATTAAGATCACGTGGAATGTAGAAGTTTATACAAATACCATGTCAATACATCATATATTTTTGTCAAACATTCTAGAAAATAGGAAATTTAACTTAATCCAACAAAATTATCACTATTCAGAAAACAAATTCTCGGACTTTAAATATTTTTGAGAATCTTGTCATGTGAAAATAATGACACGCAACAAATATCTTGAAACGCCGTGACAAAAGTCTACGTGGCCAAAGTAGCACTGCTTCCTGTTCTTACCCCTCTTGATAAACCACATATTCCTATAACTGCCTTCACCTGAATAGCTGCAAATTTGTCCATGTCTTGATGAAAGGGGAATAATTCTTAACATACCATGGACACACACATGAAAACAAATACGATATGTCTCAGGTTTATTCGGTTTTCCACATGTACGGTATATCAAACCGTGGTACGGGCAACGTTGATAATCAGGTTGACAATATCTGTAGAATGTTATCAAATCATAAGAAACGAACATTAAAATGCACTTTTCTAAACATGGTGAATCCTACATGAACAAATATAATCCCTGTTATGATAATGTTCCGCAGCTGCATTGGACGAGCATCCATTTGTACATTGGTCTCGAGGCCACAGTGACAGTACAGTGACGCCAAGTCATTATACCGCGCATAATTGCAAGTAACCAAATTGTCAGCATATTAGACCTATTCCAAATGTAATTCCAACTTTTAAGTAATCTATATTTTGGTAGGTACCGGTCACCAGAGCACATGACTGATGTAGTGTATGAACATACCCCTGTTACGCCTCATTGAAGAGGCAAGCTTTTGGACTAAATGATGACCGTTTAGTACTTTAAGCAGTTTCTAAACAAACGTGTTACAAAAGTGGAAATAAAGACGTTGTTCCTCATACCTTTACTTATCTTTTGGTCAGATTGTCATATGCAGACTTATCTATCAGTCGCGACGTATACGTTCAACTACAGCAAGACATGCACAAGTGTAACATGGACACTCATGTATTTTGTTCTACAAATCTGTTCTATCGTTTCACAGAAATTCCATGATTTCGAAGTGCCCTTCAATCGCACCTTTGTTCTACCGTCGAGATATATAAAACTATCTGTATGTCTTACATGATACAGGCCCTAGGCCAATATACGTGCCAATGACAATCTTAAAATCATGGGACATTGATGGATTAATAATTAACGGATCGCCAGCGGAGAGTTAACCACGTCCCAAAGACGTCAGGTCCGACAAAAGGTCCGACATCGTCAAAACGACAAAAAACTGAAAAGGTTCAGAATACGCATGGTCAGGGACAACAAATTGAAATATTTCTGAAACTGGTCATAAGGAAAACCTGTGTCATATTTGCAATCTTTTTTTCTCTATATTTTGGCAAAAAGAAAACACATCATGTTTTACATTGTTAACACTATCTGAAATCAATTACTATAATACCGTCATCAGCTATCTGAACATACCTGGCAACGAAACAGTCATCACTAAATCAGTGAAAGACATGTCGGTGTTAACAGGTAAATGTCAAATTCTAACATTTCACATTTACATTGACTACAGCGTTTAAGGATGATATGTTTCAGTTTCCACATCTTTGTGTATACGGGGGCTGTGGGGTAGCCTAGTGGTTAAAGCCTTCGCTCGTCACGCCAAAGACCCGGGTTCGATTCCCCACATGGGTACAGTATGTGAAGCCCATTTCTGGTGTCCCACGTCGTGATAGTGCTGGAATATTGCTAAAAGCGGTTTTAACCATATTTACTCACTCACTCACTTTGTAGATACGAAGAAATGTTCAGCTGAGATTTGGGGCTACGACACAAACGTATCCATCGTTGACATCTGTCAAAAGTTGAGAGCAACGGAATGAAAGTTATACCACCAGCAAGTCGATCCGGGTACCGTGTGTCCGGGTTACAGGTCCTACAGCAATACCTCTTCACCATATTCAGAAAATAGACTGTATATATTGAGTATTTCTGACATATCCGTCTGGTCGCTGTTGTCGGACAAAATGGTGGTCAACTACCAGCTGGCTTCCGCGAGATACCGATTGAATAATTTGACCTTTCTCATTGGTCATATGTTAAGTTTGATAAGTTTGATTGGCGATACGTTAATTTGAGCAACTCATGTAGGGAAGATAACAATAAATAATAGCGATAAAAGACATTTCCATTATCATAATGATTCCGACAAGATATTGGGGACGTGTTTATGATTCACTATCCAATGGTGATGATTAGAGTTGTTCGCGTAAAGATGAGTATGCCCTGTCCCTTCAGTGGTACACGTCACAAACACATGCATAGACAAGTCAATTGACAATTTATCAACGAATCGGGTTGAGCCTTGCAATACTAAGGCACATGTACACATAAGATATGTCTGTCGAGGTATTTTTAAATCCGACATACATCAGGGCGCCACAGGGTGATATGCATTGTATGTGGTAGGCCTTTGCGTTGGAGCCTGAGAATATACACGATGACATGTGTCAAGAATTGTAAGTGTTCAGGCACACATACGTCGGAGATTTAGATTATTATGTCTCCGTGGGATGAGTGAGGTTCATCGCTGTTTTGAACAGTTTTCTTCTTTGTTGAAACCAATTATCAGGTCATGGTTCTGACCCAAGGGCGCATAATCACTAATGGTTATATTCAGCATTGTAAGGCCTGATCGAAGTATTGGGTTCAGTCTGCAAACGCTGATATCGATTGTTCCCCGTGGTCAATGCAAGATGAACCATCACAGACAGAGCACACAACTTCTCTTACTATGAGAACATCTTTGACCACCCTGGCCCCCTGTGCTCACACGGTGGGACAGTTGCGTAATTTCATTTTTTGTTTGGGTCATAGGCAGAGTAAATACAGGATCGTTGTCAATGTTGTTGGTTGGTTGGTTGGTTTGTTGTTTAACGCCGCACTCAGCAATATTCCAGCTATATGACGGCGGTCTGTAAATAATCGAGTCTGGAGCAGACAATCCAGTGATTGAATGCATGAGCATGGATCCACGCAATTGGGATTCGATGACATGCATCAACCACGTCAGAGAACCTGACCACCCAATCCCGTTAGGCACCCCTTATGACAAGCATAGTCGCCTTTTCCGGTAAGCATGGGTTTCTGAAGACCTATTCTACCCCGGATCTTCACGGGTCACAGAAGCTGTATCTCACACAGTGGACTTGACAACACTATGTTGTTCGTTGTTTTATGCCACACTCAGCAATATTCCAGCTATATGGCGGAGGTTTGTAAATAACCTGTAATCTGTAAATAAATGACTGACGTTATGAACATTCCTCCGGCCCAACAGAAGCCCTATTTCTTCCAGTGGACTTGATAACACCCTGAAGATGAACCACAGCGAACAAAGCATGGGCTCACTTGAAGGGAGGTTTGTATCATTGATAATCACTGAAATTACGAAAAACATAACTATGAGTCAATTAATATTATATCGAAAATTTATTCAAATCACATGGAATGTAGAGGTTCATATAAATAAAAAGACTTCATATGCATTCGTTAAACATTTTCCTTAAAGGGAATATAGATTAATCCGAAAAAAAAAACAGTAATCATTTTTGCGAATCTTGTCATGTGAAAAAAATGATTTAACAAATCTTTGAGACGTCGTGACAACGGTTTTCTTTGCAAAAGTGTTATTGCTTCCTGTTCTTAACCCTCTTGATATGTACAAAACCACATATTCCTACAACTGCCTTCACTTGAATAGCTGCAAACGTGTTCACAACGCGTCACGCATTACTATCCTTCACATTCACTCACTCATACAAAACTTTTTTTTCATTGAAGGGGAATAATTCATAACATAACACGAACATCAATGTGAAAAAATACGATATGTCTTAGGCTTATTTGGTTTTCCATATGGTTCAAGTAACGTTATTGATGATGATGACGATATCTGTAGAACGTTATCCAATCATATTCCGCTTCAACATCTTAGACCTATTTCCAATGTAATTCCAACTTTTAAGTAATCTATATTTTGGCAGGTACCAGTCACCAGAGCACATGACTGGCGTATGTACACACGCATGTAACCCCTCATTACTGAGGTAAAGAACCTTTGGACTAAACGATGACTTGTTATAATTTTAAGTAGTATCTAAACAGACGTGACACACAAGTGTAAATAAGATTGTTGCACATAATATTGCTTGTTTTTTATTCAAGCCAAGGCTCGCTAAATACAATGTTGATTCCTATTACAGGATATTTACCATCCCCAAAACACACTCGCGTGATAACCTCTATGTATCTCGTGATTACAAAACAAATCAACAAGTCAGTTTGATCCTAGCAATGCTAAGGCAATAAAGAATAATTTTGTCTCAGGTTTAACATAAAACGATCGCTGATCATGCTGCATGTCCTAAACAATGTTGTGAAAAATTATAAATTGTTTGGCCTTTAGAGCAAAAATTATATGTTTTAAAGCAGAGACAGGAAAAACTACACGTTGATTTCGCAAAAATCCCCTCCCCGCCCCAAGAATTTTAAATCCTCATGAAAATAAACCCATTAGCAATTTTCTTGACACTTCTTAGAAATCGGTTTTTATTTAATTAAATGAGTGTGTTCTCAGGAACAGAACATGGAAAAGTTAAAGATCACCATTTGTTATTTTCCGCATTGTTTGGCCGACCGAAGTCTTGGGTGGAGTCTGCAAGCGCTAAAACGGATGCACGAGGAACTATCACAGAGAGCACACGGACTATGACGACATCTATGACCACCCTGGTCCCCTGTGCTCATGTGGTATCAACCTGCTTCGTCTATTTTATTTAAAAACAAACAAACAGGTAAATTAGACAACCCAGGTATACTATCATTCGCTCTCCCAATTAATTATGCCCATTGATCGTGTCTCTTAAAAAGATTATGCGGGTCCATGACGACACGGATTACACTAAGCCATGGAGAAACCACCAATGCATGGTAAGACAACCCAGGCATAGTGAGTCTCTAAAAGATGGACGAAAGGGCTGTAAACGCTCACACACACGTCGTGGCGTCGCCTTTTTCCGTCCTCGGGAATACGTGCGGATTTCTTATAACCTCTGAGTAGGACGGCGGTGGGGCATCTGGATCCACCTCTGGAACATATTTAGGGGGTGCTGTTGGGGTCAGAGATATTGTAGATATAGGCCTGGTGTGGTGTTCACGGGTGGAGGAAATACTGGCACTGGTTCTGCCGATCCTGGGCGCACTCCCGGTGTTGTCCGAAGGGTAGGTGAAGTCGTTCCATGATTGGCTTGACTGCTTGTTTCGAGCTGCAACCAAACGACACAGCTTTACGATTTCGAAAAGAACATATACTGTGTGGCATACACGCCTAACTTTATACAGTAAACTACGGTTATAACGATCACGCTTATAACGAACTGACTGATATAACGAACTTACTTTTTGGTCCCGACTGCTTGCTGTAGTCATGCTGTATATGTACTTATAACGAACTAAAATTAGTAGTCCCTTTGAGTTCGTTATAACCGTAGTTTACTGTAACAGGAACCGATCACTGCTGTAGCATTCGATTTTCATCTCTCGGTTCACCTCAACCCTATAAATATTATGTAGGAAACGAAATAAACTGAGTCTACCCACCAATGTGAGTGAGTGAGTGAGTATGGATTTACGCCGCTTTTAGCAATATTCCAGCAATATCGCGGCGGGGGACATCAGAAATGGGCTTCACACATTGTACCCACGTCGGGAATCGAACCCGGGTGTTTGGCGTGACGAGCGAGCGCTTTAACCACTTGGCTACCCGACCGCCCCCTACCCACAAATGAACTAAATGATCCAAAAATGCAAGTTTAGGTGGATCATCGAAAAAATAATAAAATCCTATCGCTTCAATCAGTATTAGCCTTATAGATTTGAAGAACGTCAGCGGACGTTGACTGACTGCCATGGAGTGTGCGTTGCGCGTGAAGTTAATAAAGGGAGGTAACTCTAACTTTTGCATCTGCAACATGAATGGCAGTAGATCTCCTTGCCAAGCTCAGTGTAGAACGACTTCACACAGCAGAACACGCTGACAGCGATAATAGCCAAAATCACAAGGACACCCGCTGTTATGCCTAAACCCAGCTGAAGAGCAAATCTGAAATACAAGAGAACAAGAAGCATTAATATCCCCGTCTTACGTTCATCACACACGTGGGGGCACGGGTGGCCCAGTCATCTAAGGCGCCGCGATTCGCTGTGCAGAGTTGCGTCCCTTGGGCACACAAGAATCCTATGATTGTGGGTTCGAATCCCAGTTCGCTCCAATTATGTTTCTAGGTTTGTCAGCACCATACCCGTGCTCGTGGGTTTCACCGAAGTGGTAAACGTCTGAGACCTGCATAACTTCGGGCTTTCTTCCCTCATAAAGCTAACACGCCCGGATATAACTGGAATACTGTTAAAAGCGGCGTTAAACCCAACTCACTCACTCACTCTGTCAACTTCTTGCTTGCCTTTTCAAGGTTTGATTATTTGCAGACGCCGCGATGCAGCTTGACTGAGACCTAAGACAATATTCATGCATAAATTTCAGTCCCCACAGTCCGAGTGTTTACTAACACTGATTAAAATTATATCATTTTCTGCTCCAGGATCTGCCAACGTCTTCATTGACAATCTGAAACCCTCATAGAACACAAATATTCTTTCGGTGTTACGCTTTAAGGTGTATATGACATCGAATGAATAAAATATCAACAATATAATGGCGCGGCCTCTATTTTTTCCATTCGGAACTGCTCGTCTTTGTCCCATTCGGAACTGCTCGTCTTTTTCGAGATACAGAAATCAGACATGCAGGTCTGAATGTTAGGCTTACTCAAACCGAGGATTTAGAAGCCTCGATGCTGGTAGGCTGATCAGGAAAATTCACCTGTTGATGATCTCATGAAGCGATCTCCACGGGGCGGGGCATCTTTCTGCAGTAAGTTATTGTATAGTAACAGACTGAACACTCACTTGTCTCGATCACAGCAGTACTGCTTGTCGGCGTCCCCGCAGCATCCTCCTTCCGCGGCACAGTCGAACCGGGAGGTTGAGGTCCAAGTGCTGTATTTATTCGCCTTGCAGCAGTACTTAGCATACTCCTCTGAAACACAGTCACTGACGGGTACTGGTAGCAGTGGGTGTTTCGTCTTAATATGCAGGCAAATCATAATGGGGTTTACGTGTTTGAACCGGTCCAGAGTAACCTATGCTTATCGTAAGTTGCGAGTTTTCAGGTTCGGTGACTTAAACGATTGTAACGGAATGGTGGTCACGCAAACTGACTGGGTTGATGCATGTAATCGTATCACAATTGCGTAGATCGATGCTCATGATGTCAATCACTGGAATGTCTGGACCAGACTCGATTATATATTTGCCCGTTGCATATAGCTGGAATATTGCTGAGTGCGGCGTTAAACATAAACAAACAAACTTAAACATTTGTGTGTTATCGTAACCTGACGGCGTTGATAGTTGCTTATAATATCAATCACTGGTTTGTCTGGTCCAGACCCAACAATATCAAACTACTGCTTTAAAGAAGTCGAATTTAGTGAACAGACGGTTTCATCGAAATCGCTTCCTATTTCTCGACTGGTAATATACATTATTGGTCTTGTGAACTCCAAACTCCTGATATACATGAAGTTTGTTCTCATCCTACTTGACTGTAAACATATATAATAATAATATTGAGAACCGTCAAGTCATCTGGGGCTTCCGTACTGACCCACCCTGAATCAAAGTGAATAAACTGTGTGGCGAATGTGTGCCTGGTTAGATAATACAGTGAACGAAAACCTGCAGGTGCCTCAGAGGTAGCTTTTGTTGTACACTGCCTAGGTAGTTGAGAATGTAATCTAAATGTAAATTACTCCATTGACTGGGGTTGTAATGGTTGGTTGGTTGGTTCGTTTATTGTTTAACGCCGCACTCAGCAATATTACAGCTATATGACGGCGGTCTGTAAATAATTCGCTGTCTGGGCTGCGTGCAGAGGGGGTAAGATCCCTGAGCTGATGACGAGCCTAACAAGCTGTGCCAGGATCATCCAAACCCTCTTTGCTGCATTTTTTATTTTAATCCGTAAATAATAATAAAAAAAAATAATAAAAAAATTAATAATATATTGCCCCACCATGAAGTTAATATAATGACCCGTACCGAGTAGCATATCATATGATAGGTGACGGAGACTGTGTTTCTTAACAGGTAAATTATAAAGTTCATACTTTCGGCCGTGTCTTCCCCTAGATTTTTGTTGTTTTGTGACGAAGCTATTTTACCTTGGTGGGTGTGATAATAGGTACTAGGCTGTGTGTGATACAAGTGGTATTGTGGACCTAACACTGACACACTACGGTACAGTATACGTACCTTCTGGTATATCAACTGGCCTCCCGTTGTTTATATAGGGGCTGTCACACGCGGCGCCACCATGGCTCTCTATAAATAACGCTGAGTTACATTGGAGTGTCCATCAAAAGTTGATAGGATAATATATCATAGGGAACAAACTTATTCAAACACCGTGTTCATGACACAGTGACTGTATAATTACTCAGCAGGTATACAATAATAATCAGGCATAGCATAACAATCGTATATATTGACATTGAAAACATAATTACACACCACTGACACACGATATGACACCCATGATGGGGCAGGTCTAAACGCAACATCTATACACATTCCACTGAATAGGTTTGAAAAATAGGTCAAATACCCGCTGTCCCAGGTATGTCATTATAAACCTTTTAAACTGAAGTAGCTCTATAGCGACATTATGTTCGCGAGAACAGTAACCACTAACGGTAAAACAATGACTTACCTGCTACAAAGTGTACAACCAGCAGAGATACAACGGGAAAAGTTGGTGAACTGAGTAGATATTCCATGCACTTCCGTTTGAAAGTTGGACTATTATGTTTACTGAAGCGGTGCCTCGGGTAATAGCTTCCCGTGAAATATAAGACACATAGGTCAAAGGATGGGTCATTTCCTTTCTCGGTTAGTCTGGGGGCAACAGCTGAGAACACTTAACAAAGCGCGTCATTGTCGATTTATCCTATTACTATTTGAATCTTGGTTTTTTTGGTATTGTACCCTCATGTTCTTGTTTTAATTACCAGAATTATCGAGTTTGAATTAACGCTCGATGCGCTTTGAGTCAAAAGGGATATCTTGTCCACACAAATATAAGAACGAGATATGGATAAATCGTTATGATGGTCTATAGACGACATAAGTTTTAAAACTTATGTACAACTGACATTATGTTTGATTACTAAAGCAGCTGATTTCCTCCATTCTTTATGTGCTTTTTAGGTATTCCATGGACCTCAATTAGAAATGGTTTGTTTGTTGCTTAACGCCGCTCTCAGCAACATTCCAGCTATATGACAGCGGTCTGTAAATCATCAAGTCTGGACCGGACAATCCAGTGATTGATATCATGAACATTGATCCACGCAATTGGGATCGATGACATGCCTCAAGTCAGCGAGCCTGACCATCCGATCCCGTTAGTCGCCTCTTACGACAAACAAAGTCGCTTTTTTACGGCAAGCATGGGTTGCTAAGACCTATTCTACCCCCGGGTCAGTAATGATACTATATACATATTGCAAGCAAACAAAGCATCATACATAAACTAAGAAATTGTTTAATTGTTTTTCTTTTTTTATATAAATTATAATTTACTTTAGTTTTTAAACTATAAAATTCCACGTTATCAATGCGATATATATCGTACCATTTCTGCAATATTCATCGTATTTTTTAAGGAATTCCCGGGGACAATTTATTTGTTTTCAATAAAATCCCAGCGGCCGATACATCGAAGTGGTATGACGCGGCCGGGCATCGAACCCCGGACCTTCCGCGCTCTCCGGGCGGACGCTCTTCCTCTAGACCACGGAGGCGGTCCCCAACTGTTTTGAACAGAACAGAACAGAACAGTTTATTCTCTCCAAAGAATAAAAAAGAGCAAGCATGTAAACAAAGTATTAATATGTGCCAAGATGACAGTATGTCATGCATGGATATGTTATATCTTTTCTGTTTTGTGTTTTCCTACTGCTTTAAACATTTCATCAATAAATCTCGATAGGTTCTTAAGATCTCTAGTGTTTTGACTGGACAATAACCTCTTGAATGTATACAAATTAGACCAATTATTCTGGTAAGCAGTTGGTAAGTATACAAATCTATGTTTTGACAGAGCCTGGCATCTTAACGGATAATGAAATTCGTCTGCAACTGAAGGAGAGTTGCACAGTTTACATACACGATCCTCTTTCTTTACACTATTCCAACGGCCGGTTTCAATTGGTAAAGTATGGTTACATGTTCTGAATTTTAAGATTGGAATAAATATATTTTTATCATTAAAAGGTATCTTTCAAATTTTGTTTTCTTTTCTGTCAGATACTGAGAAGAGACATCACCAAATACTGAACGTGCTCACAGCTATCTGCCACAGGAACTACAGCCATTTGTTTAATGGTTTCCCCAAGTAATAGAAGGTAAAACAGTTACCTGAAGAGTGAGTGAGTGAGTTGGGTTTAACGCCGCTTTTAACAGTATTCCAGTTACATCTCGGCGTGTCAGCTAAATGTGGGAGGAAAGCCCGAAGTGATGCAGGTCTCAGTCGTTTACCACTTCGGTGGAACCCACGAGCACGGGCATCGTGCTGACAAACCTAGAAACATAATCGGGGCGAACCGGGATTCCAACCCACAATCATAGGTTTCTGGCGTGCCCAAGGGTCGCAACTCCTGCACAGCAAATCGCGGGGCCTTAGATGACTAGGCCACCCGTGCCCCCGAACCTGCGTTGACCAAGGTATAACCGTAGTTAACCTTGGTTGACCAATGTTAACTCATTTGAACTAATTAGGAGATAAACATACTTCGAAAGAAGTTGATGTTGCCCCTCTGTAGAGTAGGTACCTCTTATTTTAATTTGGAACCAATTGCTTTAGCGCGAGGTTTCAAATGTATAAATAAATGTATCTTCTCTACGGTGGGACTACATCAAAGTTCATGTGTAAGTTTATCTCTTTGAATACTGTGCTTTCTTGCAACGCATAATTACGTATGGTAACTAAGATCCGCTATCTTAGAACATTTCGAAAAGTGGCCACAGGTAGTACCAAATATTGACTAAACAACACAAACAGAAACATTTCTTTGTGAGTTTTGGTGGCTTTTGGAAAGGAGGAGTGCTTTCTGATGGACTTTCAAATCCCCTCCTGACAAATCCTAACGGTGGTTGACGGAGATGGCGGTATATATCGATCACAAAAAGGCTTGTAATAAAGATATTGTCATGAATAAAGTTTTTTAAAACCCTTTTTGATAATGTTTCGTTAAACTTTCATTATCGTTTGTTTCAATGAGAAATTACTGTTACTCCCCTAAGAGTTTCATAAACGTTACCGTTTGTATGCATTTTGTTTGTTTGTTTGTGTGTTGTTTAACGCCGCAAAGATATGCTTTCGTTAAGTGATGTCATCTCATCGTCGAAGCAGTCAGTGTTACGACCTAAGGACGTTAAAATAAAAAAAAAGACCCAGCGTCTAAAAGAGGAAATGCGGTATAAAGTTTTAATGGGTGATCGGCAGCCATTTTTTAAGGATCTATATGTAGGCTATCGATGTATTCATACGCACGTATTTTGTGTGAAATTGTTTTCACAAGAGGTTTAAGAAGGAAAAAGGACAATCAAGCAATCTTCGGTGTCATGGTAGAATTTACGTCATACTTCGGTTGACCTAAGTTGCCCATACCCACTGAACACGTTGGGTGCGGTACTCTGGTTAACAGCCTCCAAGTGACGTCCTCGTTTAAGAAAATTAGTTTCATTGATTGATTAAAAAAACATAATCAACTAGGTATTGATAGTATATGCGTATTCTGAAACGCGTAAGGGAGATTTACCTTTCGTTTGTTGACATTAATACTTTAGAAGAAATACAAGATTGGTCCAAATTACATGGACAGGTAAGATTATCATAATGCAAGTTTAACAAGGTTGAATCGCCAACAGTGATTTTGTTGATTCGCCGCAATTGTGTTGATTCGCCACTGCTTGCGTACAGCCAATTGTCAAGTTCAAGTTCAAGTTCATTTATTCTCAAAAACCACGTTTGGTGGTACAAGAGCATATAAAGTATACAAAGACAAATGAAAATACACAATGATGAAATACAGAATAAATAAATACAAGATATTATACAAGATGGCTGGAGTTAAAATTCTTCTGTTCTTGTAAGAAATAATACCTTGGAGAGGTATTTTGACAGATTAATAATTTCTTTACGCATTTGGTTGTAAATAATTTAACAAAGTTTGGTATACTTGGATATTTTGTTATGAGAGATGGTAAGTACATTTTTTTGCTTAGAATCGCTTTGGAAAGGATAGTGACACTTGACACTGAGTGAGATTTCTCAGTTCGCTATACACGTCACTTATTAGTGGTAGATGGGCCTTGTGGGTGATCAGATGTCAGTACGCTATATACGTCACTTATTAGTGGTAGATGGGCCTTGTGGGTGATCAGATATCAGTACGCTATACACGTCACTTATTAGTGGTAGATGGGCCTTGTGGGTGATCAGATATCAGTACGCTATACACGTCACTTATTAGTGGTAGATGGGCCTTGTGGGTGATCAGATATCAGTACGCTATACACGTCACTTATTAGTGGTAGATGGGCCTTGTGGGTGATCAGATATCAGTACGCTATATACGTCACTTATTAGTGGTAGATGGGCCTTGTGGGTGATCAGATATCAGTACGCTATACACGTCACTTATTAGTGGTAGATGGGCCTTGTGGGTGATCAGATATCAGTACGCTATACACGTCACTTATTAGTGGTAGATGGGCCTTGTGGGTGATCAGATATCAGTACGCTATATACGTCACTTATTAGTGGTAGATGGGCCTTGTGGGTGATCAGATATCAGTACGCTATACACGTCACTTATTAGTGGTAGATGGGCCTTGTGGGTGATCAGATATCAGTACGCTATACACGTCACTTATTAGTGGTAGATGGGCCTTGTGGGTGATCAGATATCAGTACGCTAGATACGTCACTTATTAGTGGTAGATGGGCCTTGTGGGTGATCAGATATCAGTACGCTATACACGTCACTTATTAGTGGTAGATGGGCCTTGTGGGTGATCAGATATCAGTACGCTATACACGTCACTAATTAGTGGTAGACGGGCCTTGTGGGTGATCAGATATCAGTACGCTATATATGTCACTTATTAGTGGTAGATGGGCCTTGTGGGTGATCAGATATCAGTACGATATATATGTCACTTATTAGTGGTAGATGGGCCTTGTGGGTGATCAGATGTCAGTACGCTATATCCGTCACTTATCAGTGGTAGATGGGCCTTGTGGGTGATCAGATATCAGTACGCTATATACGTCACTTATTAGTGGTAGATGGGCCTTGTGGGGGATCAGATGTCAGTACGCTATATATGTCACTTATTAGTGGTAGATGGGCCTTGTGGGTGATCAGATATCAGTACGCTATATCCGTCACTTATCAGTGGTAGATGGGCCTTGTGGGTGATCAGATATCAGTACGCTATATACGTCACTTATTAGTGGTAGATGGGCCTTGTGGGGGATCAGATGTCAGTACGCTATATATGTCACTTATTAGTGGTAGATGGGCCTTGTGGGTGATCAGATATCAGTACGCTATACACGTCACTTATTAGAGGTAGATGGGCCTTGTGGGTGATCAGATGTCAGTTCACTATATACGTCACTTATTAGTGGTAGATGGGCCTTGTGGGGGATCAGATATCAGTACGCTATATACGTCACTTATTAGTGGTAGATGGGCCTTGTGGGTGATCAGATATCAGTTCGCTATACACGTCACTTATTAGTGGTAGATGGGCCTTGTGGGTGATCAGATATCAGTACGCTA